TTTGCTACCTTGAATTACTTTAATAGCGGCAGCTTTCCCTTCCGCCTTGGTAGATGCCCTACTATACTTTCCTGGTGAAGAGGTTCTCGTTTGGCAGCCTACCTGTTCAACCCCCCTACCCCCCCCTTGTCTTTAGAACTATTCATCCCTTCATTACTATGGAAAATTTTATAGGGGTGATTACCTTTATGTACCTCAACATTACATGCATAGAAGTAAACTCATTGGGAGACAACCATATTGTTTACCGTAGTCACCCCGTGTAGACATGTGAGAAAACTTAACCCCCCCTGGTCACGGCAAGTGGTTCCTTCGACCTCACAATCTTATCCATATCTATCCAAGACCAGTATGGATTGGATAGCACCCACAAGTACGGTGCTACTAATTAATTGTGGACTGTATAGATTATATTAGTGTAACTGAATGAAGGAGGGGGTAGGTAGGTCACACATGGATATATCCATCAAGGAAAAACACTTGTACATAATCTCACCACTTACCAGATATTCTCTGGTGGTCACTTGATGTAGCTGGATCACTCATAACCTATCCAATTACAACATACCTAACTAGCCAGCATCAGTCTGCTATAACTAGAAGGGTTACTTAACTGTGGGTGATTGATACTCCTTATTTCCTCCATTCACCATGTCATTTCGATGTCCTGCTACACCCACACGGTTCTTATTCCAGCAGGACGAGGTATCCGTTGGTTTGTCCCGGTTTAGAAGTCGTGACTCAATAAACTTCACTTTCCTCGTCACGGGAACAACGTGGTCTAGCGTGTTCACTCGGAGCAAGGCGACTTATTTCACTTCACGCATTCTCTTAACTTAGCGTTATTATCATTAATTACATTACAATTCACAAGACAATTTAATGTCTCAAAAATTATTATACACATTAGAGATCACTCCATTAAGATCTGAGACCGATGAGTGATGATTAAACCAAGGGTAATTTTCCCCGGGACACAGTCCATGGCGATGCGCCAGTCACCCGGTCCTACCCTTATTCACTCGTTTTACCACTATTACGGTGGTCCCGTAAATCATGTTCCCTCACTCTCCACCAGGAACAGTTACGACACTTCCTATTATGAAATGAGGCCTATATTAATCCTTAGGCCGCCGTGAGCGCCAATATCCTGGTTCCATGCTTTCCCAGCCTCCTCACTACATTCAAAACACTGCCGCCTCCCCCATGCCCCGGGTCGACCTCTTCCCCCGCACATCCGCGCATACGCAAAGGGAACTCTCGGTTCTATCCTATTTTCAAATACATTTTTGACCCATATCGACACATTAAACACCTATTAGGCACTATAGCTTCAGAAAATTAAAATATTTTCCACAATTACCCTTCCCCTCTCTCCCCGTTTGGCTCACTGTTACGCGCCCCTACTTCACTCCATATACAAAAATAAAAGGCCTGGTTAAAATAAGTTCTGTAATAATATATCGCGAACCACTTTATTACTAGCTAGATAAAGCAGGTTCGACTATATATTATTATCGGGTACAGTATGAATCATCAAAAGTACTCTCATTGTATTATACTGTATTATATTATATTATTATTAGGTTAGGTATTACGAATGTGTAACCACTACTGTAGTGACCAATTGGTGGTTCTAGAATTGACGCCACGCGTCGCCTTCTGGCCGAGCTGAAGTCATACTATGGAGTAGTTGAGTGAGTCAGTCAGCTCCTAGCTCTGACTCGGTACGGGTCTTCAACCTAAAGCTTAAACTAAAACTTTAAACCAAGTCTATTGTCTTGCCTTTGCCATTAGTTTCCTGAAGTCTGGTAATTCATGTCACTTATGAAAGATAACTATTTCGTTACCCCAGACCTTTCTAAAAGAGTTAAATGGTGAGATTAGAAGATTATTAATTGAAATTATTGTGTCATACTCTGTTAATGAGAATTTGAACGTAAGATTGGGTTTCTTGCTGTTTAGTATTTCATTTATAATTGCTTGTGGTTATTTTAATTCACTAACCAAATACCAATGAAGCTAAATGATTGGTAATAAAATAAAACTAACAAAAAAAATGGAGTTATTTGTGCCCCTATTGTTACGGTGAAGATTAAGTCGTAACACTCACTTCCTTTTTCCAAGACTTTACCCCTGATCTCTGTCCTGGAGTGAGAACGTCGTTCATCTCCGACGTTCCAGCCGATCGCTTACGCAAACTTCCGTCACCACACACTTCATCTCTCGTTCCCTCCCTATGTACTTCTGCCACAACTGTGTGCACAGTGCCATTAGTGCGCAAATTTTCCCCAACCACCAAATCATTATGTGATGTCACCGACATGTGTGTACTCCTTGCTTCCTCCAGACCACCCTCAACTTCACTTAGAAAGGAGTTTATAACCTCCAGCAATCCATCCTGTGGTCCTTCACACTCGTCATCACTCGTTCTCGTCGTCGCTGATGCAGTCTCTGTGTCAACCGGTAACGTTACACATTCATTCATTGCCTCTTCTGCCTTATCAACTTCCTCACTCCAACGACAAGGTGTCATTTTGGGGAGTACCCCAGACTCCGACGCCTCTATACCTTGCTGCCGACTTATAGGCAATGGTATCGGATCCCTCCTTCCTGCTTTCGTATGGCATTGGGCTGCCATATGGTCATAAGACCCACACAATCTGCATGCCTTCCTCTGTCCTGAGTAATACACGTAGACCTGAGTCCTGAAGACGTCCAGTAGCACATACGATGGAACTGGCTGCTGTAAGGTCATTTTCAGTGTAAATGATCCCTCAGGCAACCCCTCATAAGGTCCATTTTTCCATAGTTACGAAAACTGCTACCACATCATGCTCTGTTGCCTCAAATGGTACATTCCTTACTTTTACCCACGTCATGTAACTCGACACATCATGGAGGTATACCTCCACTGCAGTGTTCACGGCCAGTCTTCTCTCTTGATATTTGTTAACGATGCTAGAGTAGAAGCCGGCCTCCTTAAACTCGATGAAGATCCTTGTAATTCCATTTATGGCTACTCCACACAATTCGTCATTTGGTATGCCATATACCTTGCCGATGATCGTAGGCAGGAGCACCTGCATCGCTGAACTTGTAAGCGTTCCACGAACCAATTCGACACACACCGTATTTACACGGCGACCATGTCTATCCGCCATTTTGAATATTCAAAACAGAGAAAACTGCGCAGAAAGCCAGCCTAGACAGGAGTGTCTGCGAAGCAGGTCCACACGGCCCGAGAGCGATGCGAACAATGAACATACATATTGAAGTGAAGGGGTGAATAATAGAACGGCCCCTACGAAAGCCATATTGACTAATGGAGAGACTATTGTATCTCTAAATACTACATCAATCGTCTATTTACCAGACGTTCCATCACCTTGCACACAACACTGGTAAGAGCAATGGGACCATAGTGGGAGGCATCATGTTCCATAGTACCTGGTTTACGGAAAGGGAGAACAATGACAGATTTCCACAGCTTGGGAAGAACGGCTTGCTAACAAATAAAATTAATTAAACCATACCACGGGTGGGGTTTGAACCCGCGGTCAGAATCAAAACTCCAGACCGTCACATTAGCCACTGGGCTAACACGGACAGTGGTGCCTATGCTAACCTTCCTATGGTGTAGAAATATACCTTGTTGGATGAATCTTATTGAAGCTAGCTGGCCCAGTGGCTAACGCATCGGTCTGGAGTTTTGAGACTAACCACGAGTTCAAATCCCACCTGTGGTATGATTTGTTTGCAATTGTGTCATTACAATTTGTGAGTCAAGTAAAATTAAATAGGTATAATAGGAGAGCAAGGGCTGACTGATGTAAATGCTGGAGCATACAAATGTGAATGCCGTCAGGCCAAGCTATCTATGATCGACAAGTGGTGTGTGTTGACTCCAATTCCAGAAGTGTAAAAGCCACAATGCAAGACTCTTCTCTACTAATAGAAAAGTCTAAGGGCTCAAACTTTATGGCAGACTTTGAAGAAAGAAACGAGGGGCATAGCTGGAGCCCTTGAAAGATACGGACAAGACAAGTACCGATTTCAGTGGCAACGTCAAGAGGGTGTACGATAGCGACACCGGCAACCTGAAGAACAGAAGCCGTTTAGAGAGGGTATTTGCCACTCATTTTCTGTACTTTTTTCTAGACTGCGCTTATACACGAAGTTGAAGTGATGGTAGAAACAATCCCATTTAGCTTCATGGATGACACGGCGGGCGACTGCTGTAGTCTGCTTAAAATCAAGGAGGCGCTCTGTGGTTTTATTGTACCTATATCTGCCCCAGGAAGTGCACTTCAGACGTACTGCACAAGCACAGGCAGGAGACCACCAAGGCACGCACTTCTGAGAATGCCTGCCCGAGGTTTGGGGTACAGAATGTGAAGCTGCGGTTAAAACTGAGGTCGAGACAAGGCGTAACAGCTCATCAATGGAGAATGAAGAAGGATCCTCACGAATAACAGTTTGACGCTAGTAAAGGTCCCAAATTGAGAGATCAATCCAAAAGTGAGGGAGTACGAGGGTCAAAATGGGAGTACCCGTGTATTTAAAGCATGAAGGGATAGAGAAGTGAGAAAAGCCTCTAACTGAATGCACCAAGATGATAGAGGGAAATTGGGATGTTTCCATCTAGGTAATCACTTGCTCGGGTATTGGTGCCTGGAATTTTAAAGGCGAGACCAGATCTTATGGTTGAGAAGTCATTTATCTGTTAGCTGTATCAACAGGCTGGAGGTGCAGTTTGTTTGATTTAGTTAGAACAATATCTCTAGCTTTGTTCAGTTTATGGGTGTCTAGGATCTGAGTGTGTCTTCCAGGTCTGTTTTATATCTCCTCTCGTTTCGGTGAATCTATTAGAATAGTAAGAGATAAGATAAGATTTCGTTCGGATTTTTAACCCCGGAGGGTTAGCCACCCAGGATAACCCAAGAAAGTCAGTGCGTCATCGAGGGCTGTAACTTATTTCCATTGGGGTCCTTAACTTGTCCCCCAGGATGCGGACCCACACCAGTCGACTAACACCCAGGTACCTATTTGCTGCTAGGTGAACAGGACAATAGGTGTAAGGAAACGTGTCGAAATGTTTCCACCCGCCGGGAATCGAACCCGGCCCTCCATGTGTGAAGCGGGAGCTTTAGCCACCAGGCCACCGGGCCACCTACAGTTCCTTAGACTTTCTTACACTGGTGTTTGGTTGATGACCAGGTGGTCATCAACCAAATCTTTAAATGGGCCGCAGAAAACAATATGAAGTTCAACAATGAGAAATTTTAACTACTCGGACATAGAAAACGTGAGTATAAAACAAATTCCAATCATACAATAGAATGATTATGTCAGAGGATCTCATTCTCAAAGACCACAACATTGTATCAATCGTATCTGCTAGAAAAATGACAGGATGGATAATGAGAAACTTCAGGTTGTTTGTTCTGTATAGGTTGGAATGTTGCTGCACACTAACAGCACCTTTCAAGCCAGGTGAAATTGCTGACCTAGAAAATGTACAGATAACCTACATGGCATGCATAACTGTGATAAAATACCTTAATTACAGGGAATGCTTGAGGTTCCTTAACTTGTACTCCCTAGAATGCAGGTGAGAGAGATACATGATTATATACACTTGGAAAATTCTAGAGGGATTAGTACTAATCACTGCCTATGAAAGCAAAAGACTCGGCAGATGATGCAACATCCCCCCAATGAAAAGCAGGGGTGTCACTAGCATGATAAGAGACAACACAATAAGTGTCAGGGGCCCAAGATTGTTAAACTGCCTCCCAGCACACATAAGGGGGATAACCAATAGACTCCTGGCTGTCTTCAAGCAGGCTCTGGACAAGCACCTAAAGTCAGTACCTGACCAGTTAGGCTGTGGTTCGTACATTGGGTTACGTGTAGCCAACAGTAACAGCCTGGTTGATCAGGCCCTGAGCCACCATAAGGCCTGGTCACAGACTGGGCCACAGGGGCAATGACCCCCAGAACCCTCTCCAGGTATACTAGCTTGGTGAGGACTGACGTAGTGAGTTTAATAAATTCAATGGTATTTCTTATCGATGGATCTTAGAATGCTGTTAGCAAGCCATGGGTAACTCAGTCGTTTATTAGTGATGCTTAGCTCTTATGGGACAATGCGAAATTGTCTTCCTATGGGGGCGTTGACCCCTGGAACTCTCTCCAGGTAAACTCCAGGTAATACCATCAGCAATAGAAAATTCTGTAGGCCAGTCAACCGAGCAGTGAAGTTACTTACTGAAGCCTCATCATGGAGTCGAAAAGAGAATTTACAATGTTTGTTAGGAGGAAGGTAAGGTAGTGGATAGTGTTGTCTGATTATTCCTAATTTAGGGGGAACTAGTATATTTGTCCATAAAAGGTCAATTATGGTTGCACGCATCTCAGTTAGCCTTACTGGTTTTGTTATACGATTTCGTTCGGATTTTTAACCCCAGAGGGTTAGCCACCCAGGATAACCCAAGAAAGTCAGTGCGTCATCGAGGACTAACTTATTTCCATTGGGGTCCTTAGTCTTGTCCCCCAGGATGCGACCCACACCAGTCGACTAACACCCAGGTACCTATTTGCTGCTAGGTGAACAGGACAATAGGTGTAAGGAAACGTGTCGAAATGTTTCCACCCGCTGGGAATCTAACCCGGGCCCTCCGTGCGTGAAGCGGGAGCTTTAGCCACCAGGCCACCGGGCCACTGTAAAGATCACCGGGCCTTTAAAGGCCACCTGGATTTTACCTGGAGAGGGTTTCGGGGGGTCAACGCCTCCGCCTCTGGTTAGTCATCTGTTAGGTCAAAGTTAATGTTGAAGTCTCCAGCTAGAAGCAGATGGCGCTTGTTCATTTGTTTACTAATGTTTCTAGTTTGTCACAAAGTCGGGATATTAGTATGAGGCATCCTGTACATGGCACGAATTGTTATAGGAGTCAATGTTTTTTTACAGAGAAATTTGCAAATATATATTCACCATATTCACCACTAACAAGTTGTGATACAACATGATAGATCGTTAAAATAATAGTGAAACTACCTCCAATTTGTTCTGGCCTGCAGCTGTAAATTGCTGTGTATCCTGGTAGTGTGTAGATGTTTATTGTGTCTTGCTTAAGCAAGGTTTTAATAAGAGAAACACAGAGGTTTGTCTTTAATGAACCTAAGAGTGCCAGGAGGTCATCATAGTGTTTACTTAGGGATCTAATGTTGTAATTCAAAATTGTAATATTTCTGGCGTTGCTGTGGACAGTAATGGCTTCTGTTACCTTGAGTATACCTGGAGTGTGTTTCAGGGGTCGCAGCACCCGCTGCTTGGTCTGAGACCAGGCCTTGTGGTGGATCAGGGTCTAATGAACCAGGCTGTTACCGTGGCCGCATGCAAACTGACTTACGAACCACAACCCGGCTGTTGCTGTGTTGTAAAGACAGTTACTGCCAGATAAATGTTGATTGCGATGTAGGTTATATAGATTTAGATCCTTGTCGATGTCAGTATTTAGGTTAACTGGTAAATATATAAATTATAATGAATTGAAGAAGGGTGATAAGAGGTAACAATAATATCTGTAATATACACATCTCAGTGTATATATCAAGTGTGTTGGATAAACCTCGAGTGCGTTCCACTAAACACAGAGGATAGAAGGGATAGGAAGAAGGAAAAGGTGAGTAAAGGAGAATGTTCATAGGAACAGGTGGAATTCAACACCTCTTCTTCGGATACCTGAAGACCATAAGAGTGTTCTTAAAATGTGCTATGTCGACCATAGCTCTTAACTTCACGGCCACTTTGTCTGTCACTAGACCCCGGGACAGCATTTCCTTCCTGATGTAGTCATTGGAGTGGCAGTTGACATGGCCATGTCCCGGTTGTCCCAGCACCGCCCACGACAACACCACACCTGGAACACAGGTCATTCTAGGTCAAGAAGACACCACTCAAACCTGCAATAGGTCAGTTTAGGTCAAGGGGAATACCCACAACACTTGCAGGTGTAGCAAATGCAAGAAACCAACAACTAGGAAGACTCACCTACACACGCATGTTTAACGAGGTTGTCTAAAAAGTTCTTCTCTCCTGACTGAGGGATGTGTTCGCCCACCTCCAGGCTCATCACCCAGTCAAAAGGACCTCCGAGGTTGACGGGACTCGAAAGGTCCACGTATGCTATCTTCCCTCCGGTAAACTCATCAATGTTTGCCGCTCCGTCCCAACCTGGAGAGATAAAAGGTCGCAAAAGGAATAAAAAAAAAAAGACTTAATACCGTAACTGGAACAAGACACAAATACCCTGGACATTTTTGTAAAAGGTTTCGAGGTAGTCTTCTTACGGTTAATAGTCTAAGGCGGCAGGTAGTTTAAAAAGGCATTATGTTTACGAGGGAAATGGTATAAAATGTCCTTTCGTAGGACAAACACACACATGCAGTAAAATGCGATCCTTTGACAATGTTTCGCCCACATGGTAAGTTTATTAAATCTCAAACAGATCTACCTGGGGAGAGGACGAGCCTATATTAGTGTGTGAAGATCAACCTCTATCAGGACGTTTCGCTCAAGACTGCACTTCTATCTAGTGTATAACTGATAAAAGACCTGTCTTGACCGGAACGTTGCAAGGAGGGTTCCTCTAGTTAAATATGTTTATTATGCACCCCATCATACCTATCCTGTGGGCGGTAGTCAAAGGATTACAGAGGTACATAATGGGTCCAGGGGCTGTACCCCAAAGGTCTGACGGCTGAACATGTTACAAAGGTAATGAATTATCTACACGTCTAAACACGATCACAATCATGACCAAATTACAAAGAAATGAGCCATTCATACGTCCACACCCAGTCACAACTGTATTGAGTTATTAGTGCAAATAGTAACTGGGTCACACAGACACAGAGGAGCTGTGAATCGACCCCTGCAACCATAAATAGGCGAGCACGCACATACAACTCCACCCCTACAGAAACTTCCCCATAGTTCCTCGCCAGGTCTCCCGCTACCCCAACCCCAACGTTCTCCCTAGACCACAGATTTAGAAAAGAAATTGAAGGTTTGGTATACGACTGCAGATGGAATAAATAAATGTGAGGAGCGGCATGGAAGAATCAAGGAGACGTCCCCAGACATCATAGCACTCACAGAAACGAAACCCACCGGGATAACAGACTCAATCTTCCCACCTGCATATCAGATCCTGAGGAAAGATAGAGGGAGCAGATGGGAGTAGTTGCACTGCTCATTAAAAACCGATGGGGATTTGAAGAAATGGAAGGAGTGGACAAAATTGGTGAAAGGGACTACATAGTAGGTACAAATCAGTCTAGGGAACATAAGGTAGTCACTGCAGTGATGTATAACCCGCCACAGAACTTCAGGAGCCCAAGAGAAGAATATGAAGAGAGCAATAGATCAATGGGATGGGAAAAGCCAAACTATAAAAGGGGTGACTACATAGGTATGAGGAACTTTCTGTAGGAGGTCCAGTCGGAAAGAGAACTGGTAGGAAAGTTAGTAAATGAAATGGACTATGTAACAACAAAATGCAAGGAGACAGAGGAAAGGTTTGTTCCCAAGGGCAACAGAAATAATGGGAAGACCAGAACGAGCCCCTGGTTTACCCAAAGGTGTAGGGGGGCAAAAACTAAGTGCACTAGAGAATGGAAAAAGTACAGAAGACAAAGGACCCAGAAAAATAAAGATATTAGTTGAAGAGCCAGAAACGAGAATGGACAGATAAGGAGGGAGGCCCAGCGACAGTACGAAAACGATATAGCATCAAAAGTTAAGTCTCACCCAAAGCTGCTGTATAGCCACATCAGGAGGAAGACAACAGTCAAGGACCAAGTAATCAGGCTGAGGAAGGAAGGTGGTGAGTTCACAAACGACCAAGATGTATGTGAGGAGCTCAACATGAGATTTAAAGAAGTATTTACATTGGAGACAGAAAGGACTCTGGGAAGTCGGAACAGAGGGGGACACCAACAAGTGTTGGATGACGTACACACAACTGAGGTGAAGAAGCTGCCCACCCAGTTCGGCCACCAGTCCCCCACCCAGTTCGGCCAACAGTCCCCCACCCAGTTCGGCCAACAGTCCCCCACCCAGTTCGGCCAACAGTCCCCCACCCAGTTCGGCCAAAAGTCCCCACCCAGTTCGGCCAACAGTCCCCCACCCAGTTCGGCCAAACAGTCCCCACCCAGTTCGGCCAACAGTCCCCCACCCAGTTCGGCCAACAGTCCCCCACCCACTTCGGCCAACAGTCCCCCACCCACTTCGGCCAACAGTCCCCCACCCACTTCGGCCAACAGTCCCCCACCCACTTCGGCCAACAGTCCCCCACCCAGTTCGGCCAACAGTCCCCCACCCAGTTCGGCCAACAGTCCCCCACCCAGTTCGGCCAACAGTCCCCCACCCAGTTCAGCCAAAAGTCCCCCACCCAGTTTGGCCAACAGTCCCCACCCAGTTCGGTCAACAGTCCCCACCCAGTTCGGCCAACAGTCCCCCACCCAGTTCGGCCAACAGTCCCCCACCCAGTTCGGCCAACAGTCCCCCACCCAGTTCAGCCAAGTCCCCCACCCACTTCGGCCAACAGTCCCCCACCCATTTCAGCCAACAGTCCCCACCCAGTTCGACCAACAGTCCCCCACCCAGTTCGGCCAACAGTCCCCCCCCCAGTTCGGTCAACTGTCCCCCACCCAGTTCGGCCAACAGTCCCCCACCCAGTTCGGCCAACAGTCCCCCACCAGTTCGGCCAACAGTCCCCCACCCAGTTCAGCCAACAGTCCCCCACCCAGTTCAGCCAACAGTCCCCCACCCAGTTCAGCCAACAGTTCCCCACCCAGTTCAGCCAACAGTCCCCACCCAGTTCGGCCACCAGTCCCCCATCCAGTTCAGCCAACAGTCCCCCACCCAGTTCGGCCAACAGTCCCCCACCCAGTTCGGCCAACAGTCCCCCACCCAGACCAGCCACCAGGCTCCACCCAGACCAGCCACCAGGCTCCACCCAGACCAGCCACCAGGCTCCACCCAGATCAGCCACCAGGCTCCACCCAGACCAGTCACCAGGCTCCACCCAGACCAGTCACCAGACTCCACTCAGGCCAGTCACCAGGCTCCACTCACACAAGTCACCAGGATCCACTCTCACCAGTCACTAGGCTCCACTCACACCAGTCACCAGGATCCACTCACACAAGTCACCAGGCTCCATTCACACCAGTCACCAGGATCCACTCACACCAGTCACCAGGATCCACTCACACAAGTCACCATGCTCCACTCACACAAGTCACCAGGCTCCACTCACACAAGTCACCAGGCTCCACTCACACAAGTCACCAGGCTCCACTCACACAAGTCACCAGGCTCCACTCACACAAGTCACCAGGCTCCACTCAGACCAGCCACCAGGCTCCACTCACACCAGTCACCAGGCTCCATTAAGAATACTTTAATCCCTAAAATTTGGATTAAAAGCAAATCTCAAAATATATACACCGGGAGAGAGACTTCTTGGTATATATATCCGTGTTGCAATCTCGTTATAATGTCTATACCGTTTGAAAGAATTGATTACCTGGTTAAATAAAGATCCAGGGAGGGTTGGGTTAGGTTAGGTAAGGTTCGTCAGGAAACAGGACAAGTGTTTCCTGACGCGGGTCTTAGTCAGATGATGACCAGCAGCTGGAGCTTTCGGTCATCTGACCGATCCCTTCCACTGGCTTACCAGTGGGTCACCCTTCTTCGGTGGGATACGACCGGTTTGTCAAAAGAAAATTTTATTTATATCAGAAAGGGAGAACTAAACCACCCGCACTTCGTAAAATAATGACCCATTGTATATTAGCAGTATACACTACCGACAAGATCAAGAAATACACACAAGTGCAACATCTGGGTTTCTTGTAGACATTTCGCCCATCAGTGGCTTTATCAATACAAGAACATAATTAGAATGTAGAACTGTATGCAAGAGACAAGGTAATCAGTCCCTCAGCACCGTAGTCTTCAACGATACGGTACTATGTACCCCAATCACCTCTTCTAGCTTTGTACCACACACTCATTTACCCTTACCTCACCTATGGTATTTGTGTATGGGGATCAACCACAGCAAATTATCTTAAGCCTTTAATAACCCAGTAAAAAGCTGAAGTGCGATTGATTAATAAGTACTGCATTAGACAACACCCGGTGGCCTGGTGGCTAAAGGTCCCGCTTCACACATGGAGGGTCCGGGTTCGATTCCCGGCGGGTGGAAACATTTCGACACGTTTCCTTACACCTGTTGTCCTGTTTACCTAGCAGCAAATAGGTACCTGGGTGTTAGTCGACTGGTGTGGGTCGCATCCTGGGGGACAAGATTAAGGACCCCAATGGAAATAAGTTAGACAGTCCTCGATGACGCACTGACTTTCTTGGGTTATTCTGGGTGGCTAACACTCCGGGGTTAAAAATCCGAACGAAATCTTATATCTCCACACTTTTCAAGTCTTAACTTATTAAATATACAAAACATCCACACTTGTTATTGTGCCTACTACATACACAGAACACTATACTCTAGTGTAAATCCTCTTTTCAAACTCCTCCTAAATAATTATAACAGAGCACAACCATAATACGAGAGAGATCACTCTACGATATCCTTCGTGTTCATCTCTATGCAAAAATGTTATGCATGTAAAAGGCCTGAAGATCCGGAATTCATTGCCAGAACACACTGAAGGACCACTGTCTGCAAATGAGTTTAAGGCCCAAAAAAGAAATCACCTCACCACCCAAAATTAACCAGACAAACCGTACCTAACTACTACCAGTTTCTCAAAAGTTACTCATGTTCTGCTGATGAATACTCAACCACTTACTACTTCGAAATTAGGTTGTCTGTTCTTTTCATTGTTTTAAATATCAGTAGATTGTAATACAGTGCATCATAATGTAAATTGTTCCATTGTAATACCAAATTTCATTGTTCTAAACAGTACTAAACTGTAATATCATCACACTGTAAATTTTGATATATTACCAAAATCATGTAGCATCACCTGATATAATATTAAATACAGTGGACCCCCGCATAACGATTACCTCCGAATGCGACCAATTATGTAAGTGTATTTATGTAAGTGCGTTTGTACGTGTATGTTTGGGGGTCTGAAATGGACTAATCTACTTCACAATATTCCTTATGGGAACAAATTCGGTCAGCACTGGCACCTGAACATACTTCTGGAGTGAAAAAATATCGTTAACCGAGGGTCCACTGTACTCCTGTACTCACTAACTCATCTAATGACCATATGAACTATGTATTAAAAACTGAAATTGTTATTCGTTACTGTTCTTAAGTTAATCTTTAAGTCTGGCCGAAATACTCGGCATACAGAGGGGCTTCTGGCATGTACACCCGACTATTATATTCCCCTGTACAACCATGTAATTTGTCAAAATAAAAGATCTAATCTAAAGCACAGGCAGGGAGATTGTCGCTTATATACTGGCGACAGAGGAGGGAGGTGCAGCAGACGAAGGCATTTTGACTGGTTGGCAGGTACCTAGTTCAGCTATCAAAACTTTGGGGGCCCAGTCACTGGACCCATTACGTACCTCTGTAATCTGTAAATACCTTTGTAACTTGTCATGATTGTGACCAGACCTACCTGGAGTTCATTACCTTTGTAAATTGTGAGTTCATTACCTTTGTAAATTGTGAGTTCATTACCTTTGTAAAATAACCACAGGGAGAGTTGAATGATAGTTCCAAGTCTTTCGTGTTGCATTAGGAGCTTGCAGTGTTGCAGAAATAAGAGCAGAACATCCAGGCAGATTCGTTCAGGGGAACGACTCTCTCCAGCATGATTACCCTGTGGTTATTTTGCATGTTCTATCGCTCGTTCACGATTATTGCATATATAGATTAATATTGTGTTACACTTGTTGGCCAGTTAGTAGCATAGACTACAAAATGCATCTGCCTTGTTCAGTTATTAAAACTGCGGTCCAGTTCCTGGACCCATTATGTACCTCTGTAATCTTTTAACTACCGTCCACAGGATGAGGATGGGGTGCATAATAAAGATATTAAACTGAAAGAGTGCAAGACTGGGGGTACTTATCTCCCAGGTGGGTTTAACATGTTAAAATTTTTCACCTCTTGCCACACCTACCGTTCCATGATTTTATGACTTGTGAAGTTCCATTAAGCCCGGCCTCTTCCATTTTGTTGTGGTATTCTTTGTTGATATAATCGATATCTTCGGTGTTGGGGTGGACCAGTATGCCTTCTGTGTTACGCAGGAAGCATCTACCATAGTGACCCAGACCAGCACCGAGGTCAGCCACGGTAGAACTCCCGAAGAGTGTCTCCAGGGCAGCACACAGCTGCGCAAACACAGTTACTAATAACACGTAAGAAAACAGTCAAAGCTGACAGCTAGAAGGAAGTGCACACGAATGCTTACATTGAGGACACTTCACTAACGTTTATAATAACAGTAATTATTATTTTTTTTACAAGTACATGATATCACTTATACAGACCATAGCTGACATCCAGTGATGTCCTGGAAGACAGTGCTCGTGAGGTTACTAGTGTTGTCCTGGAGGGCAGTGAAGACAATGTTATTCAGTCCACAGAGGTTCAAAATCGATACAACTGAGGCATCATCAGGGGATGATGCCTCAGGGAACAGTGTCGACACACTACCAGCGAAACCTGGTGGAAGCACTTATGTCCATACAGGGTGAAAGATAGGAAGGAAACAGGAAAAATAAATGCACCACCAGCAAATGCATCTACAATAAATCCTAGGAAACAGAATTACATGTTAACGCTGTCTTGGGTATCTGCAGGCATGATATATCTGGTAAAACAGGTGGGACATGCACCTTTGACCATCCCAAAAAATGCCGCACCCACATGACAATAGGAGTGCAACCTCCCCTCCTGTAACTTGTTCCACCCAAGAATGTGTCACTCATCAGTCCATGAAAGAAAATGCTACATTGCATTCTGCCAGGCACATCACCTAAAGGGGACTAGAAGACACAGACCAGCCAGACTATGGGAAACAAAAGAGGAGAGCCATAGCCTCTCCAGGGACAGATGTTTTTTAGGGCTAAGAGGGAAAAAAATCCTACACCAACTGAAAACACTTCTGGAACAGAGGCACGGACATTGGCCTCTACCCCAGAACAACAGATATTAGAGCCAGCAAATAACCCCCCCTAAATTCCACCAATATAATTTGTCTTTGCAAACATACAGGGTCTAAAGCCGTCAAAAAACAACAAAATTCCTTACATCAAAGGAGTGCTCACGGAGTCAACTGCAATGTTCGGAGCATTCACAGAGACCCACATAAAGGATCATTATCACAACGAAACATGGATCCCAAGTTATAACCTATTCCAGTGTGACAGACTAAACAGGCAACAAGGGGGGGTTGGCCTGTATGTCACAGTCACTCATTTGCTCAGAACTACTAAACACCTCATATGATGTAGTTGAAGTTTTGACGGTAAAGATTGAAACCCAAAACCTTGTCATTGTGGTAGTATACAAACCTCCAGATGCAACTTCCCAGCAATTCCAGGAACAGCTTGAGAAAATTGACCACTGTCTGGAAAATCTTCCAACTCCTGCCCCAAACAACTTGCTACTGGGAGATTTCAACTTGAGACACCTAAAATGGAGGAGAATATCAAACAATGTTTTAGCAGAGATCACCCCGGGAGGCAGCTCAGATGAAAATTCACACTCACGAACTATTAAATCTCTGCACCACATTCACCTTAAACCAACAAATATTAGAGCCTACAAGACTAGACAATACGCTGGACCTCATTTTCACTAACAACAATGATCTGATATATATATATAACCGTATCAAAGACAGTTCACTCAGATCATAACATAATAGAGGTACAGACATGTATGCACAGGGATCCGGACCAGCAAAATGTGAGCAGTCGTGAAGGTCTCTTCACGAAATTCAATTTCAATAATTAAAACATACAATGGGATCAAGTAAACCATGTCCTAAATTAAACAAGCTGGAAAGATATCCTAAACAACACAGATCCAAACATTTGCCTTGAAAAAATGAATTCTGTGGTTCTTGAGATCTGCTCGAGACACATTCCATTAAGAAAAAGAAAAAAGATAGAAAGAGAGAGACGTTCCCTATACAGACGAAGGCGAAGAGTCACAGAGCTGCTGAATGGGACCAATATATCGGAAATGCGAATGGAGGCACTAGACAATGAAATTGCAAATATCGAACTCAGGCTGAAGGATACACAAATAACCCGCACATAAAAGAGAAGCTTACGACGACGTTTCGGTCCGACTTGGACCATTGACAAAGTCACACTAGTGTGACTTTGTCAATGGTCCAAGTCGGACCGAAACGTCGTCGTAAGCTTCTCTCTTTTATGTGCGGGTTATTTGTGTATTGTTCCAGTCACGGTATTGTGTTTTTTTGTTATTTATTTAGGCTGAAGGAATCTTACAGGAGACAAGAATCACAGGAAGAACTAAAAGCCATAAAGAAAATTTAAAAAAAAGAAATACCTCTTTTCTTATGCCAAATCTAAGGGTAAAACAACATCCAGTATTGGGCCGCTGCTTAGGCGGGATGAGACATACACAGATGACAGCCAAGAAATGAGTGAGATACTAAAGTTCCAATATGACTCGGTGTTCAGCGAGCCGCTACCCAGACTAAGGGTCGACAATCCATGTGAATTCTTTATGAACGAAGCTCAAAATTTGGACATCCCAAAAATCTCGGATATTATCCTAACTCCACAAGACTTTGAAGAGGCAATGACATGCCCATGCACTCTGCCCCAGGCCCAGACTCATGGAACGCCATGTTCATCAAACACTACAAGAAGCCCTTGATATGCGACTTCAGTATTCTATGGAGAGGGAGCATGGACACAGGGGTCATCCCACACACACTATCAACAAAAAACTTAGCCCCACTCTACAAAGGTGGCAGTAAAGCAATTGCAAAGAACTACAGACCGATAGCACTAACATCCCATATCATAAAAATCTTTCGAGAGGGTTCTAAGAAGCAAGATCGCCAACCACCTAGATACCCATCAGTTACACAACGCAGGGCAACACGGGTTTAGAGCAGGTTACTCCTGCCTGTCCCAGCTACTGGACCATTATGACAAGGTCCTGGATGCTGTAGAGGATAAACAAAATACAGATGTAGTATACACAGACTTTGCAAAAGCCATCGACAAGTGTGACCATGGTGTAATAGCACACAAAATGTGTGATAAAGGAATAACAGTTAAAGCTGGTAGATGGATCTATAACTTCCTGACAAATGGAACACAAAGAGTAATAGTAAACAGAGTAAAGTCTGAGGCAGCCATGGTAAAAAGCTCTGTTCCACAAGGCACAGTACTCGCTCCCATTCTATTCCTCATCCTCATTTCTGAAAGAGATGTAAGCCATAGCTCCGTGTCTTCCTCTGCAGATGGCATCTGGATCACCATGGCAGTGACCTCCATCGAAGACACTGCGAGACTCCAAGCAGACATCAACCAAATCTTCGAATGGGCCACTCAAAACAATATGAAGCTCACTGAGGACAAAATTCAACTACTCAGATATGGGAAATTTGAGGAAATTAAAACTGTATCAGAGCGTAATAGTAATGTGAAGGACCTGGGAGTGATAATGTCAGAGGATCTTGCCTTCAAAGACCACAACAATGTATCTACCTCATCAGCTAGGTAAATGACAGAATGGATAATGAGAACCTTCAAAACTAGCAATGTCAAGCCCATGATGATTCCTTTCAAACCGCTTGTGCTCTCTAGGCTGGAATATTGCTGTACACTAACGGCCCCCTTCAAGGCTGGCGACATTGTAGACCTGGAGAGTGTACAAAGAACTTTCACGGCACACACAAGTACGATAAGGCACCTAAATTACTGGGAACGGTTGAAGCTCCTTGATCTGTATTCCCTGGAATGCAGACGAGAGAGAGAGATGATAATATATACTTGGAAGGTCCTGGAGGGATTGGTACCAAACCTGCACACGAAAATCAGGAGGAGATGCAACATTTCCCCGATGAAAGGCAGGGGCACCATGAATATATTCAGAGAGAGAGAACAATCAGTGTCCGGGGCCCAAGACTATTCAGCTGATCCAACTTACATAAGGGAGATTACCAATAGACCCCTGGCTGTCTTCAAGAAGGCAGTGGACAGGCACTTGAAGTCTGTACCTGATCAACCAGGCTGTGGTTCGTACGTCAGCTTGCATGCGGCCAGCAGTAACAGCCTGATTGATCAGATCCTGATCCACCATGAGGCCTGGTCTCGGACCGAGCCGCAGGGGCGTTGAGCCCCAAAACCCTCTCCAGGTAAACACTAAATTTCCCTTCAGCTTAAGTTTGTATTTGCAAATTCATTGCCCCGTGCCTCCCTTGTTTTTCGATTTTTGGCCCCCCTTCAGCGCTCTGTGATTCTTCCCCTTTCGACGTATAGGGAGATCTCTCTCTTTTTAGTTTACATTTCTCTTTCTTTTTTTTTAATGGAATGCCCTTGAGCAGACAAAAGAACCACAGAGCTCATTTTTTCTGGGGCTAAGGTTCGGATCTGTTTATTAGGATATCTTCCCGTTGTTTCATTTGGGGACATAGTTGACTTGTTCCCATTGTATGCTTTTGTTATTAAAGTTGATTTTTGAGACCCCTCATGATGATCACATTTTGCTGGTCAGGGACCTGTGCATACAGTCTGTTCTTTATGTTGTGATCTAGTGTTTGTCTTTGATTTTTTAAAATTATTATCGATCGTGTTGTTAGTAAAGATGAGGCCCAAGCGTTTGTCTAGTCTTGTGGTCTAAATTTTTTGGGTTTTAATGTGCCCTTGGTGCAGATTTTTAAATAGCTCGTGTGTGTGTGAATTTTCTTTCTGAGCGCCTCCGGGGTGATTCTGCTACACTTGTTTGATCTCCCTTTTGGTGCTTCAAGTTGAAAATTCCCAGTAGAAGTGTTGGGGCGGAGTTGGGGATTTTCCAGACAGTGGTCGTTTTCAAAAAAAACTGCTCGGGAATTGTGGGAAGTTGAAAATTTTTGCTACCCCAATGACAAGGTTTTGGTTTTTAACTTTACCCCCAAAACTTTAGTACATATTTTAGGTTTTACTAGTTCTGTGCAAATGAGCGACTGTGGACATACAGGCCAACCCCCCCCCCCCCTCCCCCCCTGTTGCCCGTTTGTCTGTCACATCGGAATAGGTTTTAAAATTGGGATCAAAAATTTTTGTTGTCATAATGTCCTTTTGGGGTCTCTGTGAATGCTGCAAACACTGCGTTTGATCCGTGAGCAGCCCTTGAGTAA